ACCTCCAAGTCAAAGTGCTACAGTACCATACATCCGTTGCTTGAATTTGCCGACAATAGGAGTATGGTAGAATTGACCCAGTCTGAGGCATCGGAAATACTTATATGCGCAATGCGTTTTAAATTTTCTAAATGTCAAAAAAGACACATTCCAAATGGAAACAAATTGGTGTCGGGATTTGACCAATGAATAGGCAACGTTGTGGCGCATATCATGACAAAATTGGTCAACTGCGTATCATGCCAAGGGGTCCCAAGCTCACAGGCATCGAAATGGGCCAAATTTTGGCCTGTAAGCTCGAGAAGATATCCAATCGTGAGATTGGACTTCGGCTCAAACGACCAGAGTCATTATGCGTTCGTACCTGAAGTTCCCAGGCACGTACGGACGAAGATGCGGTCGGGAAGGCGCGTGAAGTTAATGAAGCGTGACATACGCCGCATTCACCGCAACGCAATTTAATCCTACTAAACTTGACAGCAGCGCGAAGCGCCAAGACACTATCGGTGCGGGTGACTGCCCGAACCTGTGCTTAACGTGCTGAAATCAAGCAAGTTCATCAAATACGCGAAGAAGAAGCCGGCGCCGTATCTGGAGCCGCATTAAAAGAAGGCGCGTCGTGATGTCGCTGCAAAGCATATGGCGAAGATGGATTTTTGACGTCAAGTTGTCTTCTCGGACGAAAAGAAGTTCAACTCGGATGGCCCGGATGGGTACCGCGCGTACTGGCGTGACCTCTGTGGTGACGAAAAAAGCTCTCGAAGCGGGTCAGCGGAGGAGAAAGCGTAATGGTTTGGAGTGCTGTGAGCATGTACGGGAAGTCTGATATCGCATTCCTTCAAGGACGACAAAGCTCGGGGAAGTTTTGCAAGGCGCTGGAGACGTACTTGTTTCCCTTTTTGGACGAAGTTCAAGAGTGTCTCGAAGACCAGATTGTTGTGTTCCAACAAGATAATGCATCTATCCACGCTTCCAAGGAGACGAAGAAGTTTCTTGAAGACTCAGGCGTCTTCCTCATGGAATGGCCTAGCATGAGCCCCGATTTGAATGTTATTGACAACGTTTGGGGTATTCTATCCCGTCATGTTTTCGAGGGTGGGCGACAATTTGACAATGTGTCTGATTTGCGGCAAATTGCTTTTTTGTGGAAAATGATAGGTACTGACTACTTGAAGACGTTTGTGGATAGCATGTCTACGCGTTTGGCTCAAGTTGTTTTGAAAAATGGCGGTAGTATCGACAATTAGCGTAGAGCGCAAATATATATTTCGCGAAATATACTCCGCAATTTCTTGTATCATCCCTTTTAAGATACAGTTATCCCTCAACGTTTGCTCGCTTTTCCAATTATAGATTATCCAAGGGACTCATGTGCACAAAACACAAACAAATATCAAATTTTACAGACGACTGGTGAACTGCATCAGTTAAGCAAACGAAAAATTGAATGGCCCGAGGTCAGAGGGAAGACCGCAGATTGGATCGCAAGAAGTATGATTCCTGTATGGGCCCAGCAATTTCGGATGGTTGTTGTCGTGACGTAGCCCCAAGCAGCCACCGACCAATTCATGCCCGTCAGAACGTCGACTGCGTACAAGTTCTTCTGGTCGCTGTCGACAACACTTGTATTGCCTTCAATGACTTCAATGACATGATCCAATTGATGTCGTTTGTAGTGGCGCTTGAACGATGCAATAATGCCGGCGTCCATCGGCTGCAAGACCGCAGTCGTGTTCGGTGGAAGCATCAAGAGACGGACGTTGGTATGGTTGACGTCCAGTGGAGGACTTCCAAAACCGGAGCAAATGCAATTTGGTACACGAGTGGCACAAACTTCAGCGGGTCATTGCATGAATAAAATGACGATTTGAGTTTATGGTTGTCTCCAAAACCGACTGAAAAAGGATGACCACCGGTGGGGGGAATCAATTGGATTGGTTGCTGTGAGCCAATAAACAGGAGAGTTAGAAATGACAGTCACTTCTCCAACACAAGAGATGCCGACTCCATCAAGCAAGAAGACACGAGCAAAAACAACGGCTGGAAAGAGAGGAAAGGGCTAGACTGAACCGGAAGTACAACTCATGCTCGACGTTGTTGAATCTCAACTCCCCTTCGGCCCAAAACAATGGGAAACAGTAGAAGCCATTTACAACAACGCTGTCTCAACGACGGAAGGGTGGGTTCTGCGTGATGTTGAGAGTATTCGTCGGAAGTACAAAACGTTGCGCAGCATTCGCAAGCCGACAGGAGATCCCTTGTGCCCCACAAGCGTGTTCCGGGCCAAACGAATTCAGCAAGCAATTGAGAGTGCCATGGGTGTATGCGATCTCGGATCTGAAATCGACGAATCTTTTGCTGTTGGCGAAGTGGAGCAGGTTGACGAAGCTGGAGAGGACTTCGACGTTGGCGATATACGTGACGACTCAATGCAAA